CACACACACACACACACACACACACTTCTTTTCGGGGAGCAGAGTCTCCCAGGGCCGGGGAGAAACACTGTCCATCCATCTACATCTTACATCAGGAAGCAGTGACAGTGTCACCTGGTCATCAGGCACAGGAAAGGACTGTGAAACGCAGTATCACAAGGTGTTTGGCTTTGCAGTCCTGCTGCTGAATGGAGAAGAGATCCAGACAGACTCTGAGACCACACCCAGCTGACTCCAGCAGCCCAGCAAGGGGAGGGCGCGTGGCTGTGTCATAGGTGGGTGCAGTGAGGCACGTCTGTACCCTTAAGCTCTGAGGAAGGCTGAGGCAGCAGGGCTGCAAGTTTGATTTCTGCCTGGGCAACTTAGCAAGATTCTGTCACACGCGCGCGCGCGTGTGTGTCTCTGTGGTCCAGTTCTCTGGGTTAGGTCCCCAGTCGGGGGGGCAAGGGATATCTGAATCCACTCAACATTCTTTTCCACTATTCCATGAAGGGAAGAGAAAGTACAGCCCCTCTCCCCTAGTACTGGGAATCAAATCCAGGGTCTTTACACTGAGCATTATCTTCTGCCAGGTATTTTATTTATTTTTATGTATTTAGTACAGGGTCTACAGGGTCTCACTATGTATATCGGACTCATAGTGATCCTCCTGTTTTCAGCTTCCCAAGCGCTGGGATTATAGGTATGCGCCACCATGCCAGTTTCAGTCCCCATGCTGGGGATGGTGCCAGCACAGCACACCAGGGATCGAACCTAGTCACCGTGCTCTGCCTAAGCAGGCACTTTATTCCACTGAGCTACATAGCTGGCCCTTCTGCCTTTTTTTAAAAAAATGGTCTTACTATGCAGTGAGGGCTGGCCTCCAACTCATGGTGACCCTCTTGCCTCAGCCTCCCAGAGAACTGTAAAACAGGTGTGCCCCACCAAACTAATTAAAAGAAACATTCTTGCCAAACTCAATCACAATTTAAGACAACCTAGGCAGAATCCACTAGGCTCACGTACAGACCAGTCTCACTCAGCACATGCCCTGGGTACCTCCAAGAAACGCCGGGTATTCACTGCAAGGCGCAGCAGCGACCCAAGCCCTCTAGACACACCCTGAGCACCAAGCACACTGCTCGGAACACGCGCAGAACTGCACCTCTGATTGCTTTCTTACAGCCCCGCTCCAGAGCCAGGGCCGTACTGTCACAGTCTGGCTATGAGGATACGGCCCAGCTACCCTGGCGCCCCCACAGCCGGGGCACAGCTCACCTTCCTGAGTCCTGGAGCCCTCGTAGTCGACGGCCTGGCCCTTCTTCAAGATCTTGATGGTGGGATAGCCGCTCACATCGAACCTGCTCGCCAGCATGGACGCCGAGGTGGCATCTATCTTAGCCACGGGAATCGGGGGATCATTATCCTTCAGCGTGCTGGCGATTTTCTCATACTCTGGAGCAAACTGCTTGCAGTGCCCACACCTAAGAGTTGGATTGAGGGAAGGAGAAATTCCAGCTCCGGCGTGGGCAAACCCTCCCAACTCTTCACTTGTACAGACCGTCTTCCCGTCATCATGACCCGAGTGGTGCAGCACAGCAACTATTCACTGAGCTCGCGGTCAGGTCAGGAAGGAAGAGAAGCAGCGCACGGATGATCCAGTGACACTGACGGGCGCGTGCGCCCCACTGCCTCCGGACCTGAGCATCTGGGGACTGTGGTGCCCACGGGGGTGGAAGCGGCTGGACGCCACCCACCTCACCCACCTCGGGAAGGACAGGTGAGCCTGTCAAGGCTGGTCCGTAGCCACTCCCAAGGGGTCTGCGAGGCCACAGCTCTTTACTCTCACTCTGAGCACACAGCAGGTGTCCAGAGGCTGCCAGGCCACTTCCAAGGACATCAGCTGCTACTGCAGACCTGCAGCAGGTTGCTCCATGTGTGGACTGGGCCTGGTGTGGAGCTCAGGAGTACTGGGCCTACCCAGCTCATGAAGCCCTGGGCTTGATACTCCACATCACACCAAAGAAAAACATCACACTACAAATGAGCCAATAAATATTTTTAGTATCTTCTCATTTTTATATGGTAAATGCTGGTAAACATGATACACAAAAAGCTCTTTGGTACACTTTTTTTTGGTGGAAGCAGGGATTGAACTCAAGCCCTTGTGCTTGCCAAACAAGTGCTTATTCTACTGAGCCATCTCCCTGGCCATCCTAACACTTTTAAAGTGAAGACCCAAAGGGGGGTGGGGGGAGTGTTAAGAGGATCTTGCACAGGAGTGGCGTAATCCCAGCACTCAGCAGGTTGAGACAGGAGGATCACAGTGAATTTGAGGCCAGCTGTGGCTACATAACGAGTTCAAGGCCAGCTTGAACTTTACAGCTAAAAAGCCAAATAAATAATAAATAATTTCTTAAAAGAGCATCTTAACCAGTAAGCATAAAATCTGCTGAACTAAAAATAGGAGGGAGTGAGGGCTGGGTGTGTAGCTCACTGGAATGCTTGCTTAGCAAGCCTCAGGCTTTAGGTTCAAGAATAGAAAAATAATAAACTCAGTCAAACCAAAATACCCATCTGGGGTAGGGGAGATAGCTCAGTAGTCTAAGCGTCTGCCTGGCAAGGACAAGGACCCAGGTTCGATCCCCAGTACTACATGCCCTGCTGGCCCCAGAACACCAGGTGTGCCATGCTGGCCACTGAAAATGGGCATGGTGACGCACACTTGCAATCCTAGAGCTGGGGAGGCTGAGACAGGAGGTTCACTACGGGTCAAGCTGCGTAGCGAGACCCTGTATCAAATAAATAAATAAAAGATTTTTAAAAATGTGAAAAAAGCAAATAAAAACAAAATACAAGATACACATGAGGAGTGAGATGTGAAAAGACTACTTAAATGTTTGTGTAGCAAAGCCTTGCTCTGTACTTAAAGCAGGTGCCTGGCAAGGGACCTAAGGAGACCCTGACCATTCTGGGTCAGAAATGGAACAGGGAGGGGAGAGAGGGGCAGGAGATGCAAAGCAGCAGGAGGGGCCATGGGCAGGACAGGCAGGCAAAGGAGGAGTCTGTGTGCCCGGCTGGACCTGGACAAGAAGGCTGCTGGGCGCCAGCAGGTGGGATAGCAGATACACCCCCCAGCAGGTGGCCCAGAAGGCGCCCCTTACCACGGCGCATAGAACTCCAGCAGCACCGTGTCCTTGTCAGCCACAAAAGTATCGAAGTTGGCGTCAGTCAGGACCAGGACACCGTTTTCCTCCTTAACTTCCAAGTCTTCCTCTTCCTCCTCATCGCTGTCCTCTTCCTCATCTTCATCCTCAATGGTATCTTCCTTATCAGGAAAATCTGAGTGGAAAACACCCCAGCAGGCTAGGAAACTGGCTCCTCTGCCCTGGAAACACTCTTAGCTCCCATAGCCTCAAGATGCACCAGGCCATGCCCCAGAAAGTGGAGGCCTGGCATTCTGTATGGTGGTCAGCAGACACTAGCCTAGATTTCAGAGTCCAAAGGCCAGGAAGGACATGGGGCCACCCTTGCAATCCTAGAGCCAGCCCCAGTGCCACAGGCCCTCGGCACAAGGGCAGGGCCCCAAGAGAACCTGCTGGCTTGCAACAGCTCGAACAGGAAACCAGGACTCAATCTCATTTTCATTCCTCCTTCTAACCTGTCAAGAAAGTGGGTGGCGCCTACCTCAGCCTCAGAAAACAGCCCCTTGGGCTTCCTCGTCTTTCTAGAGATCAAGACTGAATGGAGGAGGAGGGCTGGGAGTCATACTGTACTTTGATGTCACTTCTGAGGAATACCGAGGGGAGAAGATATTCTGAGATAACAGGGGGAATTTATAGGGCCAATACTCATCAAAAATATTCAACAAAGTATACCTTCCCATGGAAACAAAGTTCTCCTTCCACAATGCCAAAAACTGAGTGCATCTTATGACCAAGTTTAATTCCTTGCCAAAACTACAGCAACCATGCAACCAGGTTCCCCAACTACTGTCGCAGCAGTAAACAGAACCGTGGGTAGCAGCAGGGTAATTTCATTACTCTGCAGCCAGATTCTTTCCAGGGGCCAATTACTCTTTCTGGGGCGGCTCCCCAGGAGCTCAATCAACACTGCTAGTTACGGTGTGGGGCCCTGCCCTTAGGGTGGGCACCCCGGGGAGCTGCCAGTTCTAACAAAGCCGGACGCACTCTGCTCAATCACCACTAAAATCTACCAAGGTGCAAACCAATTACAAAAGGCCCCGAGAGACCCATAGGCACCCTGCACACCCCACGGGAGTCTGGCCTCACTCAACCCTCTCCCCACTTTCCCTACTGCGTGCACTCCCTGTCTATTGCAGGGCTGTACATGTCGGAAGGTGGAGATTAGAAAAATGGCACCAAAACGCCCGCCACCTCTAGGTGCAGAGACTGACTGGCCCAGCTCCATTTTGCTGTCCACTGGTGACAGGCTCTAGTGGGCAAAGTTAGGGACCAGGCTCTCAGAACATACAGCCTTGTGGCCCATGGCGTGCTGGACAGCACCAAGAAGAGGATGGGGCCAGGGAGATGACTCAACAGAATAAGCGCTTCTCTAGCAAGCGCAAGGGCCTGAGTTCAATCCCCAGTTCCGCAAAAAAAAAAAAAAAAAAGAGGGTGATGCCTCACAGAGTAGGATAAAATACCCAATTTCAGGCCAGCCAGATAGCTCAGCGGACTAAAACGCCTATTTAGGCAGACACAGGAACTGGGGTTCGATCCCCGAACTCCTGGCCCACTGTGCCAGCCCCGCCGCCAGGGTGTGCTGACACAGCAACCGAGTACAAGTGTGGTGGCGCACGCCTAGAATCCCAGCGCTTGGGAGGCTGAAAACAGGAGGATCACTACAAGTCCCATCCGTGTGGTGAGACCCTGCACTAAATATTAAAAAAATGTTTTCTCTGCCCCTTGTTCAAAGTTTTCTAGACCACTGGTATTCAGAAAGTCCTACCTGGTCTGACATGTTTCTTTGAAAGAACTTCATAAGGCTAAAACGCTCATCTTGCCCTGGCGCTGTGAACTAAGCCCGGGATAACCCTATTCTGGGGCTGGTGGTGCCTTTACCTGACCCTTTACACTGACACTGGGACAAACCCTCCCAGTCTCGCTGGCAGCCAAGGAGGCCTGGGCCCCCCTGAATCCCTGAAGTTCCTGCTCTTGGGCTCCCAAGCATCTCCCATGGGGTGGCCAGGCCCTGATGCAGGGACTTGCAGAAGAGCCCTCAGTAGAGAGCCCCCAAATGACTGCAGCTCTGCCAGGCAAGCACAGCACCGCCCACCCCATGAAGGGACCTCCATGTCCCTATGGAAGCCAGCTGTGAAGTGGGCCTGGGAGTCACTCACATCCACCCTTGAAGCCAGCTGCTCCACTCAGCCAAAGATTCAAATTTGCTGGACCCTTTCCCACCCTGGAAGCATCTCTGACCCTTCCTTGTCACAGATATGGCTGATGGACTTGTTTTAGGCCACATACCAGGTCATTAGGTCTTTTTCTTTTAGAGCTTTGTTGTTCAAAGATTCAATGATTATTAGGGACTTAACCTGCTTCAGCCACACCTGTGCATCCTTTACAGGGTGGATTATACAAAAAGGAAGTGCGAAGATTCCTTTGCACGGCCTGAAGCAGTCTCAGCTCTACTAGTGGTGGAGCCCTGATTCAATGGGCCAGGTTGCCTGAGAGGCACCTTGTTTCTTGACACTTTAAAATGATACATTTTAGCTGGGTGTGGTGATGGACACCTGTCATCCACCACTCAGGAGACTGAGGCAGGAGGGTCACTGCAAGGTGGAAGTCAGCTTGGGTCAGAGTGAAACCCTGTCTCAAAAAACAACAAAGCTCTAAAAGAAAAAGACCTAATGACCTGGTATGTGGCCTAAAACAAATCCGTCAGCCATATCTGTGACAAGCTGTGACAAGGAAGGGTCAGAGATGCTTCCAGGGTGGGAAAGGGTCAAGGTGTGAGCCAGAGGAAGGGCCCCAGGAACACTGCCCTTGGTCAGGGCACCCCCCGCATTCCTGGGTTCACTCAAGCAGCTACTGCTTCTCAGGGATTCCTGCAAAGCAACCCGCGACACACAGGTCAGAAAGGCCACGTGTGCCCTTCTTGCAGTCTTTTCAAGACCACCTTCCATAGTCCACAGAAACAAAACCTCTCCCCTACATTCCAAAAACTGGCCAACGCCCCGGCCCTCAAATTTTCATGTGGCTCCCACTTTATTCCACCTGTGGGAAAAGGTAAAAACAAACAAACAAACAAAAAACTTGTTTAAAATGTAGATGCACACACACACACACACACACACACACACACACACAAATAAATAAAAAATAAAATGTAGATGCAGGGATCTCCCGGCGCATTCTACTTCAGTGCATTTCGGGTGTCTGTGTTTAGGTGGGCACCCGGATGATTGGGGTAAAAGCACGCGCACGTGTGGACAGCAGCGATCCCTGGTTCCTTTGGGCAGGTGTTTCTTTCTCCGAACGCTGCTTTTTACTGCCTTTTCTACTTGGGCAAAAAGGCTTTTGAATCCGTGATCCACACGGAAGTTACTCAATCTGTTTGAGTCGGTATAAAGTCCACACCTTCCCCACACACTAATATCGGGCAAGGGGTTTGTTTATACTGGAACGCATCCAGTAAACATAAAACTAGTAGCCGGGGAGGTCGGACAGACGGTTAAGGCCGGGACTGCACGCCCTGCTCTCTAGGAAAAGCAACTAACTAGTACTTCCTAACTTTTAAAGTTATGTTTGTAGCTCGGTGATTTCAAAGGAAAAAAAATGCAGAAGAGCTGTTGCTGCCAGAATCCAAACGGAGGGACCATCCGCCCAGCGCCACCGCCACGGAACGGGCTGGAGAAACGCAACGAAGGAACAGTAGCTTTGGTTTGTACAAAGGCTTCAACGCAAGCTTCCCTCTTCCTGCGTGATTCCTAACTGCACAGATCCCGCTCTGAAGATGCTGGCTGCCTCCAGGGCGCACCCACCAGGGGCCCAGCGCCCTCGCCGAGCGCCCCGCCTGTCTCTCCACTCTCGTGGGCTCGATCGCCTCAACTTTTAACCGCTTCGGCGCTGCCCTTTCCAGGGAGACTCAGGGAAGAGCCAAGGCGAGGGACGCGGCCCAGCCTCGGGGACTGACGGGTCGCAGCGCACGAGGCTCCGGGCTCTCGGGATCCCCGGGGCTGCCCTCTGCGCTCCCCGCCGCCCCCGCCGCGCAGGGGTCGCCGCGCCCGCCCCGCCTCCGGCCGCCGCCCGCTCACCTTCGTCCTCCCCGCCGGCGCTCGCGGGGGCCAGCAGCTGCGCCAGCGCCAGGAGCAGCAGCAGCAGGCAGGCGTTGGGGAGCCTCATGGCGACGGCGCGGGGCGCGACCTCCTCGCGATCCCTCAGCGCCCGAGCGACGCGGGCCAAGGCGAGCCCTCCAGGAAGTCCCGCCCGGCGATTGGCTGGGGCCGGAGGAAGCCGCGGGCCAGCCAATCCGCGCGCGACGCCAGGCGCCCGAGCCGCCCCGCTCCTCCGCTCTCCAGCGAGCCCTAGGCCGCCAAGGCCCTGCGCGCGCCCCTGGGCCGCGCGTTTAAAACTCCGAGTCCTAACGTGAGGTGCCCCCTTCTGATTGGCTGCGCCAGGACCACCAATCAGCGGGTGCCACTCGGTTTGCGCGGAGCGCACAGGCCGAGAGAGGGAGCGGGGGAGAACAAAGACGGACGGACGGCCCCTCAGAGGCGTGACCTAGTCCGTCTCGCGATGCGATTGGTGGGACCGAGGAGGGCGGGGCATCGCGGTTGTGAGCTCCGTTTCCCCGGCAGAGATTGGCCGGAAGAACACGTGTCCTTAGCAGTGGGACGCGCGGTCCATTAGGTTCGCGGGAGGCAGGAGGGAGCGTGGGGAAGTGTTTCATGTTTGTGCGCTTTTTGATTTCTTTTTGTGGCTTGAACATATACAAATTTGCATCTGCACTTGGGCCTAGTGGAGGATGCCAGTAATTCTAGCACTCTGGAACGCTGGAATGTAAATCTGAGCTCCGCCTGGGCAATTTAGTGAGACCTCGTCTCTGTAAACAAAGAAAAAGCGCTGTGGATGCCCCTTGAGGCAAAGACTCTAGTTCAGTACCCAGTATCGAAACAAGTTTGCCGTCTTTGCCTGGGAGTGGTGCTGGGTGAGCCGTAAAATCAATCAGGACCTGTATTGCGGGGGCGGGGCGGGGCGGGGCTCTGGAGATTTAGCTCAGTGTAGCATGATTTGCTAGCGAGCCGGAAGCCCTGGGCTCGGCGTTCAACACCAAGAAAAAAGAGCTGGGCTTGCAATTTTGTCTATAAGTCAGTTGTTAGATTCTTATCTGAATCTTGCCTCATGTTACTTATTCCTTCTGTGATTTATTTTTCAGGAAAAAGAGAAATACTAGATAGGCAATCTAGTGGTTTACACAGATACAGATATAATCTTGAGGCTCTTGCCCTTGATAATTTTGGAGTGGAAAACCTGGGTTTTAGGCCAGAAAAAGCCTGTGGTGTTAGGACTTGAGACCTCAAACTCTTGGAGATTAGCATGTCTGCCAAGTTACTAAAAACAAATAGGAAAATAAATACAAATCAAGAGTTCAGGGGCCAGGCAGACAGCTCAGTAGAATAAGCGCTTGCCTGGCAAGCTCGAGGGCCTGTGTTCAATCCCCGGTTCCACCAAAAAAAAAAAAAAGAGTTCAGTTGTGTGGCCTGTGAGATAGCTCCGTGGTCTAGAGTGCCAACTTAGGCAAGCACTCGGGACCGGGGTTGCATCCCTCACGCCGTATGCTGCGCCAGGCCCACCCTCAGGGCGGGCTGAGCTGGCCACAAAAAAATTAAAACAAAGTTCAGTTGTGTTTTCTTGTCCTGCTGATTGACAAAAAGACATTGCTTGACTGATTTGTTGGGAGTCCCATATATAAAGACCATCAAATAGTTCAGTGTTTTTTTGTTTTTTGGTTTTTTTGGCAGAACCAGGGATTGAACTCAGGCCCTTGCTCAGTGTCATGTTAACAAGGGTTTTTTTTTTTTTTCCTTTCTATCTCAGGCTGCCTTAAGGGCAGGTCTGGTACAGCTTCTGGAGCTGGGAATTGAACCGCGGTCCTATGCTCCTGCCTGCATTTACCCAAGCGGCACTTTAAACCACTGAGCTATCCAGCAAAGCCCCTCAGTATCATTTAACTTCAAAAAGTCTCAGTGGGGGGAGAGCAGGAGATAGCTCAATGGAATAAGTGTTTGCCTGGCAAGTGAAAGGTTCTGAGTTTGATCCCTGGCACCATGAAAAAAAAGTCTCAGTCCTGTTGGAATTCTTGTCTTGCTTGGTAGTCCTAGGAATGTGCAGTAAACAGAATTGAAAGCCCTGTTTGTCCAAGTGTGAGACACATATGACCCATTTCACTCAGGCCCTTGGTTAATGCAAGTGAGGGAGGACACTTATCAATGTACAACGTGTTAATGCACACACACATACTTAATGTTTTATATGGAGTTTAGAGGGTAGTGATAGGGATTCATTCATCGGCCAAACACAAACTTAGTTCACTGGGAAGTTCCTTGGTCTTCATCTTTTCTCTCTCTCTTTTTTTTTTTTTTTTTTGTATTTTTATTCTTTTGATACAGGGCCTCGCTACGCAATTTGGACTCAGTCATCCTCCTGTCTCAGCCTCCCCAGCACTGGGGTTACAGGCCTGCACCACCATAGGGCTGGCCCAGCATAGGGTACTAGGAACTGAACTTGGGAACTTGCATTTTCCACACAGGCATTTAGACCACTGAGCTAGCTCCCCAGCCTGGTCTTCCGTGTCTTAATCTCACTGAATCTGGTTTTGGGAAAACAAGACCATAATCCTGCCAGGACTAGGGTCAGAAGGGAATGAGACAGACAGCACTTCCATGATTATCTTCAAAGTCACCATAATTGTTTATGCAGTAGAGAGGGTGACATTAAGTCCCAGCACTGGACCCTAGTTTGGAGATTCACTCATATAAATGAACCTTGCCCTATCTTATCCCCCAGGGTGGCCATTTGGCACTATTAGGCCAAGCTTTTCAGTCTATTTGAACCTGTGTTTTCCTCTACTTGAGCACAGTGATCCCTAGAGAGGAGGCCTGGGGGAATTGGTCTTCCCATCTAGATCATTTCTGGGCAGATGCGAAACCTGTCATCACAAGCTGAGCTTCCATGGTTGAAAAACAAAACAAGGACCAGAGAGCTGCACAATCTGCATGCTCTGCATGCATGAGGCTTTTTCTCAGGCCTGTCTAGGAATTAAACTACATGAATAGGGCTGGCCAGATTGCTCAGCAGACTAAAGTGTCTGCTCAGGCAAGCTTAGACAAGCACAGGGAACACGGTTTGATCTCCAGCACCAGCACCCCCCCCCCCGCCCTGTGGGGGGTGGGGGAGGGAAGAGCAGGATGAGCTGACCACAAGAGGAAAAAGAAAAAAAAAAAAAAAAGGGATAAACTACACGAATGAGCCAGCAGTGGTGATGCAGGGAACGGTGATGCACACGCTCCAGAGACTGAGGCAGGAGGATTATCAGAGTTCAAGGGCAGCCTGAACTACACAGTGAGATTCTGTCTCAAAAACAACAAAAATGATGCAACAGTGACTAGTATGTGCTGGAGAACTCAGAGATAGTTCTACTTTCCCATGATTCCGATCGACAACCCCTTTAAGAAGAAAGGAAGAGTGAATTCACTTCTGAATGGTGGTTCAGGTCTGTAGTCCCAGCTCCTTGGGTGGCTTAGCAGGAGGATCATTTGTATCTAAGAGCTGGACATCAGCTTGGGTAAAACATAGAATCTCAACTAATAACAAGCTAACAGAAAAGAACTAAAAAATACCAGAGGTAACAGATGTGTTGTTTGTGGGGCTTTTTGGGGGGGTTTAGGGAGACACAGCCTCCCAAGTGCTGGGATTACAGGCATGTGCCACTAACCTGGGTTACATGTAATTTTATATTCTACATTTTTAATTTAGTGTCACATCATAACCACTTATTTTCCCATACTGACTGTCACTTTATCTTTTGAGGGAACTTAGCTCTCTCTCCTAAAAGGTCCACACTGATTTACGATTAAAACTAAAATGAGGGCCAGGCCCGCGCTTACAACTCCAGCCAGTGCGCAGCTGCCTGAGAATCCCCACTCCATTCCTTAAGGCCCTCCTGTGCGAGCTAGAGACGCTGAACCTAGCTTCCATCCTACTCCAGAATCCGCTAAATCAACACCTGAGCACTCAGCGCAGGGTCTACGTAGCGGTGTGGGCACCGACCTTAGGACGTGCTTGTGTGAAACACATGTGACCTGTGTTTCTAGTGTGCAATAAGCACTGGTGTGTGATCTTTAACTTTCTCTGAGATATCGTAAAATCGTGTGTTTTTAAACGTGATGGTTAATCTTGACCATCAACCTGACTGGGTTGAGAAACACTTGGAAAATTAGTAAAAACATCCTCTGGGTCTGTCTGACTGTGAGGGGCTCCCAGAGACGGGCAGCATGGAGGACAGAGAACTGAGGTCCCTCACCCAAATGTGAGTGGCACCACCTGTAGACCGGAGATGCAGAGAAGAAAAGCAAAAGGAGGACGACGCTGCCGGCACAGGTCCTCTTCTGCCTCTGCGCTGCTTCCGGGGTGCCATGAGGCGAGCGGCTTTTCTTCACCGCCCCTTCCGCCCCGAGGTCTCTGCCTCACCAAGGGCCCAACGTAATGGAGCCGCCTGTCGGCCACGGCCAGGAACCTCTGCTGAAACCATGAGCGAGAACAAGCTTTTCCTCTTTTGAGCTGTTTTTCTCAGGTACTTTGTCACAGTGACAGAAAGGTGACACAGTATCAGAAAGTCACACTGGCAAAGACTTCCACACTTGGTATCGTTTAGTCCAGTAAAATGAAATTTAACCTGAAAATGGACAACTGACTGCACAAAGCTATGACCACTGTCTGAAAGAAATCACCCCCAATGATGCTTTTCAAAATCTGCACCAAGGGACTGGGAGATGGCTCAGGGGCTTAAGTGCCTGACTAGCAAGCATAAGGTCCTGAGTTTGATCCTCGGTACCGAAGGGGAAAAAAAAAAATTAAAAAAAAAAAAAACCTTAAAAAACCCCTCAAAACTCTACACCAGAAAATGAAAATGTCTTTCCCTAGAAGTTACAAAGATAATTTCTGGGGAAGTTCTCTTTAGCTTCTGAACAGTTTGAAAAAATGTGAGACAGAGCTTGATTGGACAGCGAAAACCCCAGAGGCAATGGTGCAAATATTAATAACCAATACTTGTGAGAGGAAGGCTCACTGTATTCGGAAGGAAGGAAGGAAGGAAGGAAGGAAGGAACTGGACCTCAAGAAGCCAGGCTCCCCTCTCAGTCACCAATAACAGGACCTGAGAGAGCCGGCCATGGCGCACGCCTGCAATCCCAGTGCTCCTGAGGCTCAGGCAGGAGGATTCCTGTGAACTGGGGATCAGCCTGGGCTACAGAGTGAGTTTAAAGCCAGCCTGAACTGCAGAGTGAAATTCTGTCTTAAGAAACAAAAGAGGGCCGGGGAAGCAACTCCGGGGTCTAAGCGCCCACGCAGCAAGCACAAGGACTCAGGTTCAAT